GTTTAGCAGGATTAGACCCTAAAGCATTGGGAGGTCTTGATCCTAAAGCTCTGGCAGGACTTGATCCCAAAGTTATGGGTGGTCTTGATCCCAAAGCTCTAGCAGGATTTGACCAAAAAGCTTTAGCAGGTCTACTTGACCCAAAGTTATTAGCAGGACTAGATCCAAAATTCCTTGATCCAAAAGTATTATCAGCTCTGGACCCTAAATTCCTCTCAGGCTTGGACCCTAAATTATTAGCAGGACTTGATCCCAAGTTATTATCAGGTCTAGATCCAAAAACACTTGCTAGCCTAGATTCTAAACTAACTGGTTTTGATCCCAAGTTGTTAGGTCTAGATCCCAAAATGTTTGGGGGCATTGACCCCAAACTGTTAGCCAATTTGGACCCGAAGCTCCCAGGAGGATTAGATCCCAAGACTCTTGGGGGTATTGATCCAAAGTTACTAGCCAATATGAGTATGGATCCAACCATGATGATGATGGCTGGCTTTGGTGGCTTGCCGGCAATGGCTGGACTAGGAATGGGCAATCCTTTATTAGGTGGACTAGCTGGGTTTGGATTACCTGGTTTGCCCAATTTGAATGATTTAGCCTCAACCTCTAAATCTAAGGACCATAGAAACGCAGCAGCGAGTTCTGCTGCCAGTTTATCATTTCCAAGCATGTTCCCAGGAGTTAGCACTGCAGGCCTGATGTACCCACCTTTGGGACTTGGTGGGTTAGGTTCCTTCCAGTTACCATCAATGTCTTCTGCAGCATCTAGTGCTTTATTGAATGGTATCCCTACAAGCATAATGTCCACAGCAGGTTCTTCTCGCCATGCCAACCAGACTTCTACCACAATCAGTAGCAGCAGCAAGTGGCGTGATGACCATAGAAAATCTCGCGAATCAAGGGATGATCACCGAAGTAGGGCAGAGAAGCAAGAACCATCAGATGAAGTAGAACGGGGCCTTAGTGTGCGTAAAGAAAGATTGAAGGAACAATCTGGACTGTCAAAAGAGGAACGTTATTTACTGAAACAGATGAAAGCAGAAAGATTGGCTCGTGAGATTGAAGCTCAGGGAGGGCAAGACCCCTATGCAGCACACTTAGATTTGTCATTGCATAAAAATCAGGACATTCATAGAAATGTGAAAGCCCAAGAAGCACCAGAAAACCTGAGCAAGGAATCTGATGCTAGCAAGCATGCATCTGGGGGGGAAGCCCAAAACTTGAACACAAAGGAAGTGGAAAATGGTGAAAAAAGTGGCACAAACTCTGAGAAGGAGGAGGAGGAGGAGACGTCATAGTGCAGTGGTGTCACATTCTACAAATCAACAGTTGTAAGCAGTAATTTAGCCAACATTGAAAGTATAATTGGTATACTTTAGTATAAACCTGAGGCGATATTTTAGTTAAAATGTGTGAATGAAAACTCTAAGTATGCAATGTGTGTGACTGTGACATACTACAACCCCACCCCACCCCCCGTTTTCCATGCTACCGCTCTTCATATACCCACACATCAAATATTCACTTTGACATTTAACTGTGATACTGACCTCATTATTTATTCCATATTTTGTGCGAAAATAATATATCAGCTGTCTGAAGGGAACACATTTCCATTGACCATTGAAAAAGCCAAGTTTGAAGTGTGAAAGCATCTTATCTTTTCCATTAGTGATGTGTGCCAGGTGTTGTGATGACGCTGCAACAGTGCAGAAATGGACGAGAATGAGCTAAGTTGCCTAGTATTGATGAACACAAACTATTAGTGATACGCTAATTTGGATCTGAATTGTTCCAAGCTGTTATGAGAGGAGTGGTGCATCTGTTTCTTGTGTGTGTGGTCGTGTAACATTCTAGAAGCTGCTTTATATTGTATAATTGCTATTTCACACATTGAACCTCTCGAAAGTGCTTTAGGAGTCAAGTACAAGAGTGTAGAGATCTTTCCTTTCATTAAAAAGAGTTGGATCTTAACTGCAATCCCATGTCTGTGTATATATTATTATTAAGACTGAATAAAATTGTAAGCAAACTTTTGTAAAAGCTAAATGTAAACTAAAGTTCACTAATATTAAAGGGAACTTGGTGATATATTTCTTTTATTTATACTTCTAGAGATTTGTTTTTATATGAAGATTCATTAAAATGTGCCTTGAACACTCACTGGTGTTTACATTAACAGATGCAATGACCAGATCCTTAATTGTGCTGATATCAACACGGAAAAGTAAACCCTATTATTTCTCTGGTATTAGTAATAAGAACAAGAGTGATACTTTCAGCAGAAGAAAGTATGTATAGTTTGTGTTCTCCTGGTTCAGTCTACAAACTAGATGTGGCGTCTCACTTTCCAAAAGTACCTCCAGAAATTTTAATGTTTGTTATTGACCAGAGTTGGTCATAGTCGCCTTGCAATAACAATCAAATTACAGATTTCAATAACGTAACATAATAGTTTAGTAAGAACTCGGAGAATATGATAACGTATGTGAAAAAAATGATT